GATGGCCTCCACCCAAACAAACTTGGTGCAAGAGTGCTTAAGGACAAAATCTCCTTCTCCCTCCGTCATCCTTCAGCAGAGTGTGCCAATCCACTCAGCCTGAATAGCACACACACACCTGGTCCGAGTCGTCATGTGGTTGACACATCCCACAAGGACACTGATAACACCACGCAGCCATGACAAGCACTGCTCATGGACAACGTATCAGAACAGCTCCAAGATTCAGCACCGAAGGATGACTTTCTGGAAAACAGCCAGGGAAGTCAGGACAACATATTTCAGCCACCAGAAACAGCAGAGCCACAGCCCCGCTCACCAGGCACATTATCCCTCTCTCCAGCATCTCCACTTCTAAGCTTCTCACAGAAAATGGAGGAACTGGTGTATGCTGGAACCAAACTCTCCCACTCTTTCGCTGCAAGTTCCCAGATATCAACTAAAAAACGGCGAGCCCCACAACCACCAAAGCCTGTCCTCCCACCTCGCCCTCCTCCTACTGTTAGAGCTCTCCGGCCGCTGCCACAATGCTTTTCAATGTGGTTTCCGACCGCATCACAGCAAAGAGACAGCGCTCATTAAGATAATAAATGACATTCGCTTAAATTCTGATTCTGGCAAAATATCAGTGCTGGTACTACTAGATCTCAGTGCTGCGTTTGACACTGTCGATCATAACATACTTCTCGAGAGACTGGAAAACTGGGTCAGGCTTTCTGGCATGGTACTCAAATGGTTCAGGTCATACTTAGAAGGGAGAGGTTATTATGTAAGTATAGGAGAGCATAAGTCTAAGTGGACGTCCATGACATGCGGAGAGCATAAGTCTAAGTGGACGTCCATGACATGCGGAGTCCCACAAGGCTCAATTCTTGCACCACTCTTGTTTAGCCTGTATATGCTCCCACTAAATCAAATAATGAGAAAGAACCAAATTGCCTATCACAGCTATGCTAAGACCATTAGACAGCTGCAGCTCATCCAGAACACTGCCGCCAGAATTCTGACTAGAACCAGAAAATCTGTGCATATCACACCAGTACTCAGGTCCTTATACTGGCTTACTCCAGTTACATTTAGGATTGATTTTAAAGTATTTTACTCGTTTATAAATCACTCAATGGCCTAGGACCTAAACATATAGCAGACAGGTTCACTGAATATAAACCTAACAGACCACTCAGATCATTAGGATCGAGTCAGCTAGAAATACCAAGGGTTCACACAAAACAAGGGGAGTCTGCTTTTAGTTATTATGCCACCCGCAGTTGGAATCAGCTTCCAGAAGAGATCAGATGTGCTAAAACATTAGTCACATTTAAATGCAGACTAAAAACTCATCTGTTTAGCTGTGCATTTATTGAATGAGCACTGTGCAATGTCCGAACTGATTGCACTATATTTCATTAGGATCGAGTCAGCTAGAAATACCAAGGGTACATACAAAACAAAGGGAGTCCGCTTTTAGTTATTATGCCGCCCGCAGTTGGAATCAGCTTCCAGAAGAGATCAGATGTGCTAAAACATTAGCCACATTTAAATGCAGACGCAAAACTAATCTGTTTAGCTGTGCATTTATTGAATGAGCACTGAACAATGTCCGAACTGATTGCACTATATTTTATGTATAATCATTTTCTATTCTTAACGGTTGTAAATTCATTTTAAACCTCTTTAATCAATTTTAAATCATTCTCAAAGTTTTTAAATTCCTTGTTTTATTGTTGTGATTATTATTTTTTTATTATTATCATATTCTTTTCTTTTATGTAAAGCACTTTGAATTACCATTGTGTACGAAATGTGCTATATAAATAAACTTGCCTTGCCTTACTTACTTCCTCTTCGTCGTTAGGTATCAATGTGTTCTCAGCAAGACCGTTTTGTGCTTGAGCGCCATCAAGTCGTGTTTTACTGTAACTTCAGCAGCTCCAGACACGTGAACAAAAGCGTCAATCTCATTGGTCGGCCAGCTTGTAACACGGCGTGTCAAACCAAAAAAATGAGCCAGAGGCGTTTTTTTTTTTAAATGACGCTTTTACGCCTCGCGTTTTGCGCGTCGGTGTGCACACTCACATTGGCGCCCTTTTGTTTAGTCACGAGGTGTTAAACGTCAGTGATAATCGCGCGCGATATTCGTCTCGATGTGAACAAGTAGTTAGGCTATTTTTTCATGTCATTACATTGTTTAGAGCTGCTAAAGATGCTTTGACTTAATCTGTATTGTAAAAAGTGCTATAACGGTTACATTAATAATATAAATATAAAATAAAATATAAAATTCTATATGAATATCCCACATTTCTGACACAATACCTAAAAAAAAAGAAATAAAACAACTTACAGCTTGTTCTGCAGTAATTAGTTAATGCTTCAACCAAGTATACAGAGTCCTTGTTTTTTGTTTTTTTTTAGGACAGGACAGTAGAGACTGACAGGAAAGCATGGGGGTGAAGAGGGGAACGAGATCGGCAAAGGACTGCGAGTCAGGATTCGAACCCGGGTCACTGGTGAAGCAGTTGCACCATATATCAGTGTGTTAACCACTAGGCCAGGGGTCTCCAAACTCAGTACTGGAGGGCCACTGTCTAACTCTCTAACCATTAGGCCACGACTTCCCCCCAAATCCAAATGACACTCTGCTAATGCTCTCCACACGTTCCCTGTGATTGGCTGTTTGCTGCACGTGTCACACTTTCAGGTGCAAGCGCTCCAGAGTTAATCGCAAACTCTGGTTCAAACTCTGAGTTGAAGGAGTACGTTTATATCGAGCCTTGCGAGCCCGCTGATCCTGATCTAAACCAGGTTGGATTTATCGGGTTTTGTCAACTCAAAACTTACTCTACAACTCTGAGTTTGTTCATCTCTCTTCGTGCTACGGGCCACTGAAATTTATTGCTGTTGTGAAGCTCCTTCCACACTGTTGGCAAGTAAAAGCTTTCTCTCCCGTGTGACTTCTCATGTGGACTTTAAGATGTTGTTTTTGTGTGAAACTCTTCCCACACTGTTGGCAAGTGAAATGCTTCTCTCCAGTGTGAACACTCATGTGGAGTTTTACGTTTATTTTTTTCAGTGAAACTCTTGGCAGGTGTTAGGCTTCTCTCCAGTGTGAATTATCATTTGGCCTTCAAAGTGTCCTTTATCATTGAAGCTCTTTCCACACTATTGGCAGGTGAAACACTTCTCTCCCGTGTTAATTCTCATGTGGCGCTCAAGGTTTCCTTTTTCAGTGAAGCTCTTCCCACACTGTTTGCAGGTGAAAGGCTTCTATCCAGTGTGAACTGTCCAGTGGTGTAATGTAACAAAGTAATAATACTTCGTTACAGTACTTAAGTATCTGTACTCAAGTCGAGTCTGGGGTGTGCGATTGTCAGGGGTACACAGACCAGAGAGAGATGAATAACGTTCCAAACAGGCTTTATTTAACACAACAGCATTGATAAGGCAATAGGTGATCAGATAAGCATAGCAGATGGAGAAGAGGAAGAACAGACAGGTGAGGAGCCACACACACATGTTTACAGGACTTGATGAAGAGGTAAACACTTTCCTTTCCTTTCTTTTAGGAATAGCACATGACACTTGGAGATGGAGACACAGAGCTGATGACTGGAGATAAGGAACTGGATGCTGGAGATCGGAGACTTGGGAGTGCAAACAAGCAACAGGTACAGGTGCATCTCAATAAATTAGAATGTCGTGGAAAAGTTCATTTATTTCAGTAATTCAACTCAAATTGTGAAACTCGTGTATTAAATAAATTCAATGCACACAGACTGAAGTAGTTTAAGTCTTTGGCTCTTTTAATTCTGATGATTTTGGCTCACATTTAACAAAAACCCACCAATTCACTATCTCAACAAATTAGAATATGGTGACATGCCAATCAGCTAATCAACTCAAAACACCTGCAAAGGTTTCCTGAGCCTTCAAAATGGTTTCTCAGTTTGGTTCACTAGGCTACACAATCATGGGGAAGACTGCTGATCTGACAGTTGTCCAGAAGACAATCATTGACACCCTTCACAAGGAGGGTAAGCCACAAACATTCATTGCCAAAGAAGCTGGCTGTTCACAGAGTGCTGTATCCAAGCATGTTAACATAAAGTTGAGTGGAAGGAAAAAGTGTGGAAGAAAAAGATGCACAATCAACCGAGAGATAATTTTGTTTCCATGCCGGGAATAGAAGTCACCTCTGGATGGAGTTCGGGGACAGGAGCAAAATCTGGGTTGAGTTTGGGGGCTGGAGCCATTTCTGGGCTCCAAGACATCCCATCATATTCCACCAGTACTCCCAGGGGCACAAGTGCGGCAGCCATTTTGGATGAAGTCTCATGTGCGACGGCACTTTTGAATGGAGGCACAGGTGCGGCAGCTGTGACGGGATGGAACACTGGCATGGAGGTACTGACTGGATGAGATTTTGGATAATGGAACCTGAGAGGGGAAAATTTCTTCAGGGCCTTCCAGAGAGAAATAACCGCAGGATCCGCCACTTTCGCCCCCAAGTCGGCGCTGTTAGAAACCATTTTCCGGGGTCGAGGGAAAACTATTGGCCCTGGTCTGAAAATTTCACACACTTGAGAGGACTTGGGACTGGAGTTGGCTCGATAGAATAAACCGCCGGTACCGGGTGGCCAGGTACCAGGCGGGGTGTTGGGATGGCAGCAACGGAGTTACGCTGGTATTGTCATCGACCTCGCCAACAGTGAAGGAGGAACCATCTAGCAATAGCACATAATCGATATATTGTGCCAGGGTACCGGCGGTTGTCGCTGCTGGTGCTTGGAGGAAGAGTGGATCATCCAGACCACTCCAGAACAAAGACTTTAATGTCCCATCATTCCAAGCTACCTGGTGGGCGAGCGGGAGAAACTCATCAACATAAAACTCGATCGGATGGCCATCTTGGGTTATGGAGAGGATTTGCGTGGCCGGATCAACAATGGAGCTCATACTGCTGTTGTCTGTTGGTGGTCTAGTCTTCTGTCAGGGGTACACAGACCAGAGAGAGATGAATAACGTTCCAAACAGGCTTCATTTAACACAACAGCATCAATAAGGCAATAGGTGATCACACACACACGTTTACAGGACTTGATGAAGAGGTAAAATCTTTCCTTTCCTTTCTTGAAGGAAGAGCACATCAAACTTGGAGATGGAGAGACAGAGCTGATGACTGGAGATAAGGAACTGGGCGCTGGAGATCGGCGATAGGAGACTTGGGAGTGCAAACAAACAACAGGTAAGTTGGCTTCAGGTGAGTAACAATCCAAGGCGAATATCTGGAAGGTCTTAGACGAGACTAGACAATCTGTGTGTGTGGTGAGTCCTTTTAACCAGTGCAGGTGGAATGAGAAACAGCTGGTGATCGTGACTGAATGGTTGGTGACAACGAGCAGGTGAGCAGCAGGAGGGATGATGGGAAACGATGATTGCTTACAGACAAGAGGTTGAGCAGCTGGCTGTCTGGTGCAGTCACAACAATCTGGAGCTCAACACGCTCAAAACTGTGGAGATGATCGTAGACTTCAGGAGGAACCCCCCTGCACTCCCCCCACTTACCATCATGGATAACACTGTGGCTGCAGTGGAGTCATTCAGATTCCTGGGAAGCACCATCTCTCAGGACCTGAAGTGGGACACTCACATTGACTCCATCATTACAGACCCCTCTCACCCCGGACACAACCTGTTTGCACTTCTCCCCTCCAGCAGACGCTACAGATCTCTGTGCGCTAGAACATCTAGGCATATAAAATGTTTTTCCCCCATGCCATCTCCAGCTTAAACAGCTAACACAGGATTTATTACCTGTGTTCTGTAATTCATGCCTGTAATTAATTCTCCATCTCTAATTATTGCCTCTCTCTCATGTAAATAATGCACAAATCTGTACATAAATCTTCTGTTCCAGATTCATACATATTATTTATTAAGTCTTATTTAAATGTTTCTTGTCATATCATGTCAGATATGTATGTATATATATATGTATGTATGTATGCATGTATGTATGCATGTATGTACCAAGAGCTTCTTTAAAAAAATTTAAAAATAAATAATTTCCTCGTGTGTTTGCGCACACTTGGCGAATAAAGCGAATTCTGATTCTGAAATGTAGTTCAGATTAGGCGACAGAACTGGTGACTGTGACAGCGATATACAGTATATCGTCTGTGATAATATGGTATGTGTTGTTGTAATGATGTGAAATCTGACATTATCAAGTAGGCTATATCGCCAAATCACACACAGAGTGTGCATGCACATGATTTATTAGTCTATTAAAATTGTAAATTCAAGGCATTCAAAATTGTAAATGGCAAAAATGCTTCTGTATGCTTTATATATTTATATAATTTAATATAGTTAACAATCTATATCACACAAAGAGTACCGTTTTTCTGCACATATCAGCATGATAACACATTTAATGATAATTTAATACAAGTACAGTAAAGTTAGCAATAAGTGATTTACATTTTAGACATAATATTGCTTGTTTTTGCTCAATTTTGCCAACAAAAATAGTTCCAAACAAAGATCACAGCACTGTTTTGTGTCTTTTTGAGCAATGGTGTTTACTTATTGAATGAATCAGCTTTTTGAACGAATAGGTTGAATAAATGATTCAGTGATGATTCTACCAGTCATTTTCTGGTAAGATATCTGTATTTTTACTTGAGTATGGCTTTCAGGTACTTTATACACAACTGGAACTGTCATGTGTTTTTCATGGTTTCCTTTTTCAATGAAACTCTTTCCACACTGAGCGCATGCATAAGGCTTTTCTCCAGTGTGAATTCGTATGTGCTTTTTAAGCTTTCCATTACGAGTAAGAATTTTCCACAGTGTTTGCAGGAGATACCTCTAGTTCCTGTCTTCTGAGCTCTTATTCGTGTAGAAGTCTTTTTAGTCTGCGAACAGCTAAAATATTTTTCTTCCGTTTTGAAATTGGGATTTTCCTCGACCAGGTACTTGTCTTCATTTTCATTCAGTACTTGACTCTCCTCTTTCAGCACCTTCAGGTCTGATAGAGACAAATGCAAGTTAAAAGGTTAGTTCACCCCAAAATGAGAATTACCCCATAATTTACTCACCCTCAAGCCAGCCTAGGTGTATAGGACTGTATTCTTTCAGACAAACACAATCAGAATGATAAAAAATTAAAAAAAATACCTTACCGTCTTCCAAGCTTTATAATTGTAGTGAATGGGAGATGAGATTTTGAAGCTCAAAAATCATCCAGCGATAATAAAACGTACTTCACACAGCTCCAAGGGGTTAATAAAGGCCTTCTGAAGTGAATCCCTGCATGTGTGTAAGACAAATATCCTTATTTAAAACTTCATAAAGCAAAACAACTAGCTTCTGGAGCCATGCAGATACGCATTTGACTTGCGTTAACTTCTGTGATGAAGTACACACTCCTATGATGTGCTGCGCAGCTCATGTGCTTAGAATGTGTAGTGTTGCGTAGCACATCATAGGAGTGTGCACTACGTGACGGAAGTTAAAGTGCCCCTATTATGGATTTTTGAAAATAACCTTTCATGCAGTGTGTAACACAGCTCTAAGTGAATGAAAACATCCTGCCAAGTTTTAAATCTGAGAGTGCACCGTGTATAAAGTTATTGTCTCTCAAAAAAAAGAGTCGACTCTGAATCATTGAAACGAGTCGTTTTTAACACGAATCCCAAGCCGTTTCATGTTGAAGTCAACATGAAACATTAGCATACTGCCTGCCCAATTGTTAGTCGTTTTGCGTTAGCCTGAATGAAAATGTAAATTCATTCTTTGAGTGAGTGAGTGACATGTGGCCAAGTATGGTGACCCATACTCGAAATTAGCGCTCTGCATTTACCCATCCAAAGTGCACACACACAGCAGTGAACACACACACACACACACCGTGAACACACACCCGGAGCAGTGGGCAGCCATTTATGTTGCGGCTCCCAGGGAGCAGTTGGGGGTTCGGTGCCTTGCTCAAGGGCCCCTCAGTCGTGCTATTGAAGTTTTGGGTTACGAGTTCGGCTCTCTAACCATTAGGCCACGACTTCCCACACAAAGAATTCATTCTTTGCCACTAGGTGCCACTTTTGGAGCGGTAAAATAGCTGTACTATTTCCCCGGTAACGCTGTACACAAAGCAGCACTGCGTTCACAAACGCTGCTTTATCAGGCATTACAGTCATGATGAAATGAAAATGAGACCAATCGACCAATCACCGCAGATTCGCATCACGCAAAGGAGGGGTTTGGAAAAATGAATCGTTTGGGAGTCGTTGAGCAAGTAAGGTAAAAATGAATGCATATTATAAGACAATGAAAGTGTTTTTTGACCTAGCATGCATGTCAACCTGTTGTTGGGGACTCCCAAAACCAAAATATGAACCTTTCATCACCCATAATAGGGGCACTTTAACATAAGACAAATGCGAATGACCGTCAAAATCTCACCCCCTATTCACTGCCATTATAAAGCTTGGAAGAGCCAGGATATTTTTTTTAAATAACTCTGTATTCGTCTGAAATAAGAACGTCATATACACCTAGGATAGCTTGAGCGTGAGCAAATTATGGGGTAATTTTCATTTTGGGGTGAACTATCCCTTTAGCCTACACTCCACGTCAAATAAAAGCCAGAATTAGGAAAATCATATGACATTCTTCAGAAATATCATTCATTTCTGTAGAGCTGTACTGTGAATAAGAATCAATTGGCTGAGTTCAGCTTTGAGAAAGAAACCAACCTGTTTGTTCCTCAGTATCTTCATGTTTGATGCTGAATACTTCTGCAATCCTAATGTCTTCACTCTCCTCTTTAATAAACGCCATCTTTATAATAGTGTGTCACGTGGATGTTTTTCTGTGAGTTTGGACAAGATGAGAATAATTAACAGAAAGAAAATAAATCCAAATGTGTTACTCATGTGCAGATGCACTTTGCTCAAAAAAAAATTTTTTAATACAAAGCATTACAATGTTACATTCGGTAATAAAACATTAATTTAAGAGTTCTCGTTAGAAGCATAAAATTGCCTGAACAGTTTGGAACACTTCAAATGCTCAGAACACAAGCCTTTCTTCAGCCAAATCACAAAAGAGCAGGAGTGTGGCTCAGCCTTATGATGTCATATCTCCCCTACACAATAAAAGTCCCATTCTCATGCTAAAATCAGACATATTCAAATACAAATAATAAAACATATCAACGATGTTCAGAGATAAATTCTTGCTGAAATACATATATATATTTATATATTTATTTTTTTGCAAGTTTATTTATATAGCACATTTCATACACAATGATAATTCAAAGTGCTTTACATAAATGGAATTAAAATAATCATAAAAAATAGTCACAACAATAAAACAAGGAAATTAAAAATAACCTTAAATTGATTTTAAATTAAAAGTTAAGAATAGAAAAAGATTGTACATAAAATACAGTGCAATCAGTTAGAACGTCGCACAGTGCTTATTCACTAAATGCACAGCTAAACATACGAGTTTTTGAGTCTGTATTTAAATGTGGCTAATGTCAGCCGTACGGCTTGAGAAGGCCTTTCTGTCACGTGATGGAACAGAAATAGAGAAAACTACAGGCACACTGGGTTCCCGCTTGTTCTGTAAACAGTTGCTGCTATCATGGCGGGGACCCGACACATATCGGGTTGTTGAATGAAAATAATCTGTGAGATTTTGTAAATGGCTACACACTTATATGTTTTATTTGATCTTTTATTTGAACTTTTTTTTAGAAATAGATTTAACAATGTTTAATTTAACAAACATTTGTCCATGTAATTAAACTTTTTTTTTTATAGGGCCACCGACTCAAAAAAAAAAAAACTTTTTGTAAAATGTTACTTTTACCATTGTATATCAACTGGCAAAATTAATTGTGATTGTGTGTGTCCTCCCTGATTTACATTCCTTATAGTAGATGAGTGTAGTGACAAACTGAGTGAAGACGTGCCATATAACCTAAAAGGGATTTCTTAAAAAAAAAAAAACCTGATAAACACATACAAATAATAGTTTTTATTGGACATAAAAAAAGGACCACAGAGGAAATTCTATGACTTGTTTGTGTGTTTTCACCTGTATAGGGCTTACTTGTACAATTTTATAAAACATGTCTGAAAAAAGCAAACAAACATCAAGAAGTTCGTTAAATAATAAAGATCAACCTTTTTAAGTGTTCCTAAAAGCAATATAATATAAAATGCCACAAGAATGTAAATGCTAAATAAAACCACTTCAATTTCTCATTTTCTTTGTTTCTGCGACACACGTGTGTCCATTGTATTTCTGTTATGGAAACCAACAAACTACATATTAGTACAAAAAGATGGGAACTTTGAATGAGTAATCATTTGGGCACCGGTACAATAATAAGAGAGAGGTGTATGTATTTAATTCTGATCAAGTACCTCCCACCTGCATACAGATCTACATGTTGAGGTTTCCTTGTTTTATTAAGTTACTGACAACTTAAGCCCGAGACACACTGCACGATTTTAGCAATCCTATAAGATCATTGCATGTCACACTGTGCGACATGGATTTAATAAACTTGGCTACGACATGCGTGTAGACTGTACGACAATAACACCTATTGACTCGTAGGCTACGACGCACGTTTCTATAGAAGAATAACACATCATCAGCATGCGCTAGTGGTAAACAAAAAAAGAGCATGATAAATAACACTTTAGCAGTTGTAGTTTTTATGTGTACTGAATAAAAGTGGAAGCGGCGAAAACGGAAGGGATAAGAGCTTGAGGTAAGCAGTTTTATGTTTTAGCGCCATGTTGCATTTCTATTGGTTGGTCAGTAAACGTGGATCGTAACAGCAAACACGCTGTGCGATTATCATGCTGTATCGTTGGCTATCTTTGGTCGCAAGACCGTGACAATGGCCGTCATTTGAACCTCTCTCACTGCACGACACAGAACCACCGTTTAGGAGCCACGATCACAGAAAAAGCCACAATTGTTTCACGATGACAATCTTTCGTCTGGGACAGCCGAAAATCGTGCAGTGTGTCTTGGGCTTTACAGCTTGTTCTGCAGTATATAGTTAATGCCGTAAACTTCAACCAAGTATACAGAGTCCTTGTTTTTTGGCCATTTTGTTTAGGACAGGACAGTAGAGACTGATAGGAAAGCATGGGGGTGAAGAGAGGGGAACGAGATCGGCAAAGGACTGCGAGTCAGGATTCGAACCCGGGTCACCGGTGGAGCAGTTGCACCATATATCAGTGTGTTAACCACTAGGCCAGGGGTCTCCAAACTCAGTACTGGAGGGCCACTGTCCTGCAGAGTTTAGTTCCAACCAGCTCCATAACATCTAGCTGAAAGTTTCTAGTATGCCTAGTTAACCTTGATTAGCTGGTCAGGTGTGTTTAATTGGTTTTGGAGCTAAACTCTGAAGGACAGTGGCCCTCTAGGACCGAGATTTGAGAACCCTGCCCTAGGTTATCAGTGCAGACAATAGTCCCTGTTCACATTCCACACATCAAAATAACTGTGATGCATGTGGAGACTCAGTTCATGTGTACCTGGTCAATTCATGCGTTTTCTCTGATCGCATAGCTATCCAATCGAAAAAGAAAAAAGACCAGGGGTAAATGCCCTCCGAAAGAGAGAGCATTTTTCCACATTCCAGATGGAACTGTACAAAATGCATCTGGTTGTTGAAGTCATATATGTGAACTGTTCTCCTCTCAAAATGCTAAAAAAATAAACATGCCAGAGTGTGTTATAACGGCTTGCAGTAACCGGATGTGACCGCACTACTGCAATCACTACTGCATCACCACAGATCTGGCCCTCCACAGAGGAGTAGCTGAGTATCTTCAGCAAGCCGATGTGCAAACTGAACAAGTTTGTGCATTTATACATATGGGGGGGGGGGGGGAC